AGGGGTAGAGTGGGGTTTGATCATTGGTATCTCCAGATAGAGCTAGAAAAGCCTGGAGAACTGGTGTCCAGTAAGCCTAAAGCCAGGGGTCAGCAAACTTTTCCAGCAGGGGGCCGGTCCACTGTCCCTCAGACCTTGTGGGGGGCTGGACTATATTTTGAAGGGAAAAAATGAATGAATTCCTATGCCCCACAAATAACCCAGAGATGCATTTTAAATAAAAGGACACATTCTACTCATGTAAAAACACGCTGATTCCCGGACTGTCTGCAGGCTGGATTTAGAAGGCCCCCAGGCCATAGTTTGCCTACCCATGGCCTAAACTGTACTGAGCAAGATGGAGCAATGGGATAAGGCAGCTTCCTGTGTGAGGGCTTGATTCTGCAATAAAGTAAGTTAAAAGTAAGTTCTGGGTTGGTGTTTGAATGAACCAAAGCAGCTCTTTGAATCCTGACAACAGCAAATAACCTAAATCTTAACATGGTTACATACCAAGGGCTGTATCATTGTGATATGATTTGCATATGAATTTATGCAATGCCAAAAAAAAAATTCAGTATTTTTTTTTAAATGACAATAATATTCTCCCTTATAAAGTAACAGCTTCCAATGAAACCTGTGGAGATTCCAGAAATGCATAATTTGTGTGGTAAACCCTCTGTGGAACACACACAACACAAGTACAGTGGTACCTCAGGTTACATATGCTTCAAGTTACATACGCTTCAGGTTACAGACTCCACTAACCCAGAAATATTACCTTGGGTTAAGAACTTTGCTTCAGGATGAGAACAGAAATCGTGCAGCGGCAGCGCAGCGGCAGCAGGAGGCCCCATTAGCTAAAGTGGTGCTTCAGGTTAAGAACAGTTTCAGGTTAAGAAGAGACCTCCAGAACGAATTAAGTAATTAACCTGAGGTACCCCTGTATACTATTTTCTCCAGGACTGCACTCAAGGTAGGCCAATTCAGACTGCTTACCCAGAGCACAAGGCTGACTGGCTTCTTTCTGTAGGGGCATGAGGTCACTCCACCCTCCCTAAACTGAGCAATTTCAAACTTTTTAAAAAAATATGTCGTGATAGAAGACGACAATGATAATGACAAAGAGGAACAATTTAATTGAATGAATGTACATATTGCCTTCTTGTTATTAAAGGCAGGTGGGCTGTCTGAATATATTCATTTATATTTATATCCCACCTTTCATTCAAGTGATCAGGGAAGTTTAAAGACACTGTAAAGAACTGCCTTGAACACAGCACTCCTTACAACCCCCTGGTTCTTTTTCCTTATCTTTCATGTCCAGCACCATCCTGCTTCCAGCCAAGAGACTCTGGCCTTTATGCATGCGGTTGAGGGTCCCACCTTATTTGGCCCCACCCTGGGCTGCCTGTTCCCCTCTTGTCCTAATTAGTTGACCTTTCCCTTTTGCATCCTCTTTTCACCAAGCCCTTTGACCTGCAGGGCTTGCTCTGGCATCTGCTGGCACCATCTAACTCATATTTGAAATAAGCTAAAAAAGTCTGAATTCAACCCAATGAATCTGATCTACATGATATTTTGGTGCAATGTGATATTTCAGTGGCAACAAATGCTATTTTGTTGCACATGGGTTAATTAAGAAATGACTTCAGAAGCTTTTTTGAGGTTTTTAAAAAAATGACACTTGGTTTGGTCTTCTTTCTCTTGAAGCCAGAAATAAATAGCTAGCTAACTAAGTAGAAGTCAAGAAGTGCACATAAAATCCGGGGTAAATGCATAATGAAGGATCCTCCTGAGAAGTTTCCTTGCCATTATGCATTTATTCAGGTCTGTTGTTGCATGGCTGATTGTGATGTGTGTGAAGAAAAACAGACAGCAAGGAATTGTATTCCAGGTCACTGAGTAACACCAGCAAGTCACATTTGCATGAAGGCCAAATTGTTTCACTGGTTCTTTTAATACAAGTTTGGAGTGACAGTTGTAGACAATTAATGTGAACTATGAATATTAAGTGACAGAGCACACTTGGCACACATAGAGATATCCAGATTCAATCCCTTGGAATATGTTCATTGGATGGTTGCACAACAGCTGTGGCCATGGCATGGGAGCAAGAAGGGAAGAACACTGAGAGGGAGAAAGTGGTGCTTTGAAACAAAGGCTGAAGTTTGAGAAAAGTACTTCCATACAGTGGAATATCTGAGGTCGCCTAATCCTTTATCTCTCTCATATGAAGCAGCTGAGGAAGGGAGGTTTGTTTAGAAATACCTACACTGAGATAATTTACATATTATGTTGTAGTACAATAGTTTTAAAAATACATATTTAAATGAAAATTTGATACAAGTTTGTGGTGTTCTTTGTATTTTAAAAAATAAATATCACCAGATTAATGTGCAATCAGGACAGAGGAGACTTATGAGTTACCACATGCAGAAACTGGCATGGAGCAGAAATAGACTAATTCATCCATCCATCCAACAGGGAACCAGGGGCCCTCCAGATGTTCTTGGACTGCAGCTGTTGGAAGCCCCAGCCAGAATTCCCAATGGTTGGAGCTGATGGGAGATAAAGTCCAACAATATCCAGAGGACCACTGGTTCTCCCTCCCTAGGGCTGGATGATCTGCCCTCGGTATAATGAAGCTTCAAAGTTTCTATTGTCTCTCTAAGATACAGTATATCCAGTCTTCACTTAATACTTACTTACTTTGCCTCTTATGCCGAGTTTCATGAATGTTATGTTGGTCAGTGCAATTATGCGTACGAGAGTAAGGGGAGGTGGGGAAGAGAAAAATGCAAATACACCTCACAGTCACAAGATACTTGTTTGTGTGACAGGGAGTGCTGTGGAAAAGGTGAGGAATCCCAATTACATAGTAAGATCTGCCAAAACATGGAAGTTAAAAGGAAGCAATTCCCAGATGGCTGATTTTCCCTTTAACATCTAATGTATTTTTGGGAATAGAGACATTTTCGTAAATTATTTCAAATCATTTTAAAGCCATCAAGTTTGAGATAGCAAGTAGCATTGCACTGTCAATTTGAGAGTCATATAAATATACAGAGATGAAATGCATTTGCTATTGGAAATGTAATGACTTTCTCAGTATAATGATTCAAAACTTTATTGTCATAGATCATAAAAGTTAGCAAGTGAAAAATCAGATATGGAAGAACTTGCTACCAGTTTCTAGCATTGTGGGTTGTTGTCTGGCATTCCAAGGTAAGTTTCGTTTTGTTTCATTTCATTACGTATTCTGTTTTATTATGGTCCATTTAGTTTGGTCCTTTGACCAAGGGAAGACCAGCTATAAGTTCCTACTGGCACAGATAAAGTGGTACCAGCAGAGAGTCAGGGAACCAGCCATTCCTTAGCCCTGGGTGGAATGCAGAACTATCATCTAAAGTGGGGACTTTGTTTATGCCTACACTCGGATTCCTGTTCTTACAATCTTAAATCCAATTTCTGCAGCAATTTGTAATTTATTTTTTTAGTTTTTAAAAAACCCCATGAAGAGTCATCAGCATTTTAGTGTGAATTTCTCCAAATAAACATATTGTTGCCAGCCATTTACCCAAATATAAAGCATTGTTATAAGTTATTTTCACAATGCGTTCATTTTTATGCACACTTTCCACCAATAGATGCATTTTTGTAACATTGTTTAGGTTGAGAATTGCATTGTGATATTCAGGTAAGTGTGAATTTTGAAGGATGGCCGTGTTTCGATTCTCATCTTTTTTGGAAAGTGCAAATTTGATAGATTTGACTTTAAATGAGTTTTAAGTCAACCCCCGCCCCCCAATTCCTACGCAGAACTAATGCCAGTAATCTAAATGTCTAAGTCCAAATTAGAATCTATTTTTCCAAGACTATTGGAAATTAAGCAGAGGCTTGACAACCATATGTCAGGAGTGCTCTGATGGTGTTTCCTGCTTGGCAGGGGGTTGGACTCGATGGCCCTTGTGGTCTCTTCCAACTCTGATTCTATGATGATTCTATTGTCCACTTTTTCAGATTCCAGTCTTTCAATGAAGTGTATATGCCCTGTTATTCAATTAACATTGCATGGTGAGAAAGCAGGAGAGCATATATGGTGTAATTTGCACTTGTTTAATTGCTCATTTTGTTCTGTTCACCACTATGATATTTCCCCCTTAATGTTGGCAGAATCTTGCAAACAAATAAACACATTTTGCCGCTGCCACTATCACATGCTTTTGAGGTCCTGACTCCCAAGCTCCTCACATATTAGGGACATTTTTTGTAGAAGGGAAACCTGCTGAATATGCTTAAATTCAGTAGGCTTGCTCTCTGCAGATATACTCCTGATGTATGGACAGCATGGGGTAGGGCCAGCAGTGGATACATTAACAGGGGCAAGACCAGCACACCTGGGTGCAATGCCCCCTCCCCCAGTATGTTGACTGCATGGAGTAAATAATGCCTGGACAGACCCACAATGCCTTCAAGAGAACAGCTGGTGTCCCTACCTCTCTTGTTCCCTTTCCAGGCTAGTAACAGGCCAATTGGGATTGCCAGTCCCTCAATGACTCAGGTAGAGTGTTGTGGACACATAGGGCCGATTTGTCAATGCTCACCTTTTTTGCTTTCTTGCTGGCACTGCAAGTTCAGCCGGACATCCTACATCAGGTCAGCCCTATCACAATCTCATTAGCAGGGTGTTCCTCAAATGTTTTAGTCAAAAATCCACAGTCTGTCCCCCTCTCACTCTGTTGCCCTTATTTATTGCATGTTAAAAGCAGATGCAGTAGTAAGTAAAATGAAAGAGCATATTCCCTGTTATAACTGTCACTCATGTCAAATAGCAGCAAGAAGCAGTTTATACGAGCAAGCTTGTATGGCTACTTAATTGTACAAATAAACAGTCTAAGGCCCTACCTTCACTGCATAGTTATTTCAAGGTTCTCAGATTAACAGGGGGGCGGGCAGGAAGCATTTCTGAATTCAGTCATGTATTCCATTGACATATTTTCATTAAAAAATTAAAAAATTGTCCAGTAGCACCTTAGAGACCAACTACATTTGTTCTTGGTTTAAGCTTTCGTGTCCATGCACATGAAACCTTATACCCGGAACAAACGTAGTTGGTCTCTAAGGTGCTACTGGACAATTTTTAATTTTTTTATTTATTTTGACTCTGTCAGACCAACACGGCTACCTACCTGAATATATTTTCATATTAAATGCTAGATTAGGCCTGACCTTAACAGAAAGTAGTTAACTGAATAACAGCTAAATTTACATCAGATAATTCTAGTATTTCCAAGCTTCTAATGCTCCTCAGATAATAGTTGCTCATTATCAAACTTTCTCTAGTTACCGTTATCAAGTCATTTTCTTCCTCAAACAATAACCCCTTCCCTCAACTCATCACTGTTGCTCTTGCAGGAATTCCTTTTACAGTAGTGTATTATAGGAACAAAATGATTTGCCTTATACCAAGTCAGACCATTAGTCTGTATAGTTCAGTACTTTCTGCACAGATTGGCAGGGGCTGTTCAGAATTTTGTATAGCGGTCTTTCCTACCTCTATCTAGAGGCGCCAGTTGATTTTTTCCAAACTGACAACATTCTGATGCTAGCATCAAAGCTATATACAGTTTATTATCTACCCAATTTGCCGTCTGCACGCAAAAAAATAAAAATAAAAATTCTAAGAAGAACTGTTTGCTAAAAAGGGGGCAGAGAGCAAGAGAGCATAATATTTAGGTCTTGTTTACACACCCTGGCTTTACAGGTGCAAATAACCTTGAGCATCCAAAGTGAAAGGAATTCAAAGCTTATTATAATTAATCAGTCCTAGAAAAGTGTCATGGGGATACGCAGCATTAAAATATGAATCAATTAACAAAATTGCTGATTGTTTAGTCACACAATTGCTTTCTCTCTTTTTTCAGCCACTTAGATGGGGTACTATTGACTCTCTCTCCGCACCACAATAGTTGCTGAATAAGCACCGTAATTTATGAGTGTTGCATCTGCCTGCACAGTTTGTACACAGGGTGTACATTAAGGATGCAGTAAATAATTGTGATCTGCAGATTCCGATATTTTGTTCTCAGCAAAAGAGCAGGGAGAGAGAGAGCGCACACAAAAAGAAAGCAAATGAGTGCACAAGCTAATATGGAAGTGCAGAAACTTGGTCCCTAACCTCCTTCAAAGCACAACACGCATGCATTCCATTGGGAAATAGTATGCAAAATAATCAGATCCATCTATAACCCAGAATGGAAGCTCTTGCTGATTAGTGAGAGTTTCGGATAGGGACCATGATTCAACTTTAAGCCAAATTGTAAAACCTATTAATTTTATTTATTTTTTACTGCTTAGGGATGCCCTTTGATTGGATATGCAAAGCTACTAAAGACTACTTGCATAAGTTAAGAATCTTGCTAGATCAGGCCATCATCCTCTTCTCAGAGGGGTCAACCAGGTGCCTACGGAAAGCCCCCAGAACAGGACCTAAGCACAAGAGTGTTCTTCTCCACTTGTGACTTCCAGTACTTGAGAAGCATTCAGAGGCGGCTGCCCCCAGGGTGGTAAAATATACCCATTGCAGCTAGTAGCCATTTGCCACGAACCCCTGGCCTACCTGGCAGCAAGTCAGTATGCTAAGCCCAAGGGTCAAACCACACAGGCAAAGTCCAAAATCCAAAGTCCAAGATCAGAAAATGCAGTCCAGGGTTAATCCAAGTAGCCGTCTGAAGTCCAGCAGTCAGAATACAATCCAGAATCAAGCCTGAAGCTCCATAGAGGTCCAGGAGCATTCACGTCAAGATCCATTAACATAGGCAAGTGAGCAGACACCTCTGCTTCCCTTTTGTACTTTGCCTGCTGATTGCAGCTTCTGGGCTTGATGAGGCATGTCACCTTCACCTGTTCCAAGCCTACTCCAGGTAAAGAATCACACCCCTCCTCCCAGAGCTAGTGAGCCTCACCTGGCCAGCTAGGGAGCTGGGCTGTGGACCCTTGCCTGCCTCAGCCTCCTGGAGCGCCCTGCATGCTGCTCCCTATACCTCAGAGCTCTCCTATACCCCAGAGCTCTCTGGCTCTGGTGATGGGCCCTGCTGCTGTGTTTCCTGTGCACTGACCCCCATCCCTTTACCAGCCCCTGTCACCCTGTGAGTACTTCCTTTCCCCTCCCCTGCTTGCTCCGGTGTGCCTCAGTCCCCACTATATCCCTCGTCCAGGCCCTCTTCTTGTCCTCCCCATCGTCCTGCCACTTCATGACACCATTTATAGCAATACCCTCCATGAATTTATTTAATCCTCTTTTAAAGCCAACCAAGCTGGTGGACATCACTGCGTCCGGTGGAGGTGAATTCCACAGTTTAACTATGTACTGCTGTGTGAAAAAGAACTCATTTTTGTCTGTTGTGAACCTTCCAAACTCCTGCTTCAATTTATGACTTTGAGTTCTTGCTCATCCAGTTGACTTTTAAAAAGGAAAAAGAAATGTCAACATGGAGTGGATCCATACAGTGCTGGGCTGATGTGTTTCCTTTGCTGAAAGTGGTAGTGAAGCACATACAGTGGTACCTCAGGTTACATACGCTTCAGGTTACAGACTCCGCTAACCCAGAAATAGTGCTTCAGGCTAAGAACTTTGCTTCAGGATGAGAACAGAAATTGTGCTCTGGTGGCACGGTGGCAGCAGGAGGCCCCATTAGCTAAAGTGGTGCTTCAGGTTAAGAACAGTTTCAGGTTAAGCACGGACCTCCGGAACAAATTAAGTACTTAACCCGAGGTACCACTGTAGTTGAAATTTCCATAGGAAGCTGCTGTATACCAGTTCAGATCATGAGTGCATCTATCTCAGTATTGTCTACATTGACTGGAAGTGGGTTCATCAAATTGCAGGGTGGAATTTCTCCAAGAGGTGCCAAGGATTCATTAAAGGATCATCTGCATGGAAAGCACATGCTCTACCATTCAGCTATGGTCTTTCTGTCCTTAGAAATTGCTTTGTGGATAGGGACAGGGAACGCCATGGAGTTTAGTGAGTCTTATTACATCTCCTTTTACATTTACAAAAGAAATACATTTTTCTGCAGATTTTTCTAGTTACAATTGCTCATGATTTATAAGGAGATGCAGTCTTTTATTGGCTATATAATCTTATTTATGTGCATTTTAGCAGTGCACCTTTATAAACCATAACTGTCCAATTAAAAGAGAAGCTTAGTATAAAAAGTTAGATTATTATGGCTATGGGACAATAAGAACAGAAAAAGAAATAAGGAGATGGAAATATTCACTCATCTTTTCATGATCCAAGGAGGGGTCTTCAGTAGCTGGGATATTATGCTTCAAAACCAAAAGCTCTGCTAACTTAGAACTCATTGAATAGCTATTACACCTGAGGCTCTGTGGCTAAATGTCATGAAGGAGGACATAAGAAAGGTCAAAGGGGGGGATTATGCTCTCCTCTCCTCACTGTCATCTGAGCAGAAGAGTGTCTGGATCATCACATTGCTTAATGCGTACCATGTTGATCACTGGATGGTTGGCAAAACAGTATCCATTATGGACTTATTTTGCAGCCTAAGTTGCTGCAGCTGAAACAAGGATGTGGTGTGGGCCTTCCCCTCAAGAGGGTTATAGTTTGGTGTTGAGCCAGCAGGGGCAGTACACACAATGATGTATCCACCATCAGTCTTAAGTTGCTAAGGGTTTTGCCTTTCAGGCCAAGTTTTGAAATCCATATGCAACAATGCCTGTTTGCTGTTGTTAACCACCTTGAATGGCTCGCTGGACCAATTTCATAATGAGAGCCTCAAAGTATTAAAACATCCAATGAGGTTAAGCACAATGTGGATACAGAAATTTTAACCACTAAGCTGCTAAAAAATATGGCACAATGCATTGGATCCATTTGGTCAACACAGTAGTTGCACAACTACCTGAGTCAATGCACACTGGAAAAGTGTGAGTTCTCTAAATCCATTCTGCCTTGTATTCAGTTACCACCAAACCCTTTCCATCTGAACTACTCGATGCCCTTTTATTGCCCTTAATATCTGCAGTCCTAGCATTCTGTAGAGCTTATTGCTGTACAGAAAAAGCAGTAGTTTTATTATGAATTTCATTTCATTTTGCAGACTTACATCTGTTTTTAAGATTTGCTTTACCTATATAAAAGACCATGCACTATTGCTTAGAATATAATTGCTGATTAATGAATAAATAACAGCATTTTTATTGCAGAGTCATTTTCACCTGCTTGCATTTGGATTCTAAACCCATTTCTACAAAAGGCAATCTCTCTAGTTGTTGAAATTTCCTCTACAGCTCTGTGCAACGTATAGTGTAGAAATGAAAGCCCTGAGAAAGGGAACTTCCACGGTTCATGGGCCTGTTTATGTGGGGTCTATTAATGTTCAACCAGGACCCTTTGAGTAAACATACCCTTACTTTTTTTCAGGTTACATGTCACACATAAACCCTATGCAGGCATTTTGCTTGCATGTGAAAGCTACTACTTGAACAAGGAAAGATGCCACAATCCTATAATGTGGGTCTTAAATGCTGCAAACAGCCCCCATTACAATACACTGTGCACTTCAGACTTTTGCCCTCCAGGAGTTGAAGGTGATGGGGGTAGCAAGGCTGGGTGCACTTATCTCACTCTTTTTGCTCACATTTAGTTTCTGTACACCAGCAGAACACCTGTATAGGGCTATAGATTCCAAGTGCAAGTGTGTAGGCCATTGCATAAGCAGGGAGCAATTATCAGGAGGCTTGGAGCAGGCTGTCATCAGTAGACTCAGGTCTACTACAGTGGTACCTCGGGTTACATATGCTTCAGGTTACAGACTCTGCTAACCCAGAAATAGTGCTTCAGGTTAAGAACTTTGCTTCAGGATGAGAACAGAAATTGCGCTCTGGTGGTGCAGCAGCAGCAGGAGGCCCCATTAGCTAAAGTGGTGCTTCAGGTTAAGAACAGTTTCAGGTTAAGAACGGACCTCCGGAATGAATTAAGTACGTAACCAGAGGTACCACTGTATTTCATTAAATCTGAGTCATACCCATGACCCTTTTGGTTGCCCTTTTCTGAACCTTTTCCAGCTTTTCACTCTGGTTTCACTAAGCTATCAAATATGGCCTGA